AATATCTTCTATATGCGAAAAAAGTAGTACTTTTATATAGTACTGCTATGAAAACTCATTACTGCAATGGAACACAATTTCAAAAACCGGCCGATTGAAGGGACTGCCACAAAAAATATTGCAAGACGCATAGTGGCTCTTTAAAACATCAGCAAATTCCATGGTGGGCGGATCTGAAGCTGGAGAGAAAAGTTCATTCAGGTAAGGGAAGTGCTTTTGTACGAAGACTGAGTTGCCTGTTCTAAGGAAATGAAGCCGAATACGGTCTTCTGATAATGGTAACCAGTAGAAGGATGAATTCGCTTTCGAACCCCCCATCCAAGGTTTGGTCTTAATGGGAACATTACTAAAATGTAATGTTGATAAGTTTTGCTGGAAGCTCTACCGATGTGTTCCAGCAAGGAACATTCCAACGCTTACAAAAGTGGATATTATAATTTACAGAGTGGGAAAGGGCAAACTAACAAAAACTTGAGTAAGTGGTGAAAATGAAAGTTTTCAAAGATTGGATAGGCATATATGTCGTCTACCTTATTATGATTGCTGTTCAATTTTAATCATAAGCCGTGCTCGCAGCCACAGCTCTTTATCTAGGGCTTTTGAAACCCGCACGGACTCGATCCCACATAGGAATTTAGTGGCATCTCGAAGGGGCACATTAGGCACATTATCAAGCTGATCCCAATCAGAAGCATACATTGCTATTGTATGCCAATGTTTGAGTATACCCTTTTGAATGAGTGCAGTAGTAAAAATTTTATCGCCATGGGAATGAAGATTTGATTGGTAGTTCACATTTCAACTTGAAGTTCTCCAAAGAATATTCTTCAACGTTTGCAGGTGAAGACACCTCTGGCCTCTGAATTCAAACTTCGTTATAAGCGAAAAGAGACTGAGGACTCCTTTTCAAAAGAGTGAGGGATTAGTGTTGCGAATGTCGCTATCTAACGCCTACTGTCTCAACAAATTGTTGAGATGTGTATAGGTTTAATTGCAAGTCGGATGTCATGAAAGCGCGATGTTCGAGTGGTTAAGGTGTTGGGCTTAAGTTCCAATGGACGTAAGTCCTCTTGGGTTCGAACCCCACTCGCCCTATTCATTTTTAGGGAGGGAATTGTTTTCTACCCCTCAGATATTATGAGAAACTCTTATAGCATTCCCTCGATGGTGTTCGGAGAAAACCTTCACCGAAGAAATTTTGTAATCGCAGTTGCCCAGTAACTTTCAAAAAAATGATCTAAACATGTAAAGTGTATATTGAAGCATCGATTAGTCCTTTCTTCGAGAAATACGATGATAGCCTCAAATCAATTCTCATGAGGTTCATGTTTCGATTCCGTCAAAGCGGCTCTTGCTGTATACCCATGAAGTTATCGAATTAACAAGTGATAATTGGAATATACTCGATATTTATGGTCGGTTGTGCACCTGATCTCTTCGAATATTCCCGAAAGGAGTCGAATTCAGGGAGATTGCCATGGAAGTCCCGTATCCTCGTTTTTCTAAAAGCCTCCTTTCTATCATCCATGCATTGGGTGGTGGAAGATTTTTTTGATTTGGAACTCATTCCTATTATAAGGCTTGAGCATAGTTTGTAGAGGTTAGAGACTGAAAGGAGTGATTCATGCTACAGTATGAATCTAATGTTGCAACTTTCAGATCACGGAGATAAAAGTCGGAGGGAAGGAGGACCATGGACGGTGATTCGAACAAGGACTGCTACCTCGCCGGCCGCCCTCGAGCCTAACACCTGTTGCGCCTTACTCTGCTCATAGCCGTCGTAGTTATTCCTCGCGATAATCCATGTATTATGTGCTGAATCTATATTCGTCTAACAGACAATAAAATTGACTCCGCTAGTTGTGTGTTGTTCTGACGCAAGATGAGCCAAGGGACACAGCTAGCGCTAACTCTATATCCCGTTCCTCATTCAATCTTTCATTAATCTCTGTGGAACAGCTTCTACCTGCCATCGAAGCCTCAAGAGCTTCCCCGGTTTGTGGTAATCGCTAATGTTTTTCTACTGTTGCGATAGCTCGGACATTGAATTGTCCGTTGATACAAGGGGTTTACAACCCTGAAGCTTCCGCAGAAGAAATGGTTTTTCAAACTCGCGGACATCATGGTACAAGCCGTAAAAGACAATGAGGTGTCCAGTCAACATGTGCTTTGAATTCTTCAGAACGAACGGCTTCTTCGAAGAGTTGATATTGGACTTCACCCGATCGATGCGTTGTCCGACTCATTTTTTCAAAAATACTTAAAGTATTCACGAATATCATTAAGATTCTTTGATTGAGACGCTTCTGTTTTAGGTCCTTAATGTCTCACATTGAATGCCTTCTGAAGGTGGGTTGCGGGTTCAAGCCTGCTAATGTTTCCAAGAAACCAACTGCATAAAAATTAATTTGAATTATGTTATCTTGGAACCTATGCTTTTGAATGACCGGATATTCCACAGGCGTCATATTCTTCATAAGTAACGCTTATGTAACCAGACATGACCAATCTGATTGTTCGGGCTTGAAAAGCTTAAAAGCACACTTCACGATAAATTTGATGTACCATTTTTAAAGTAGAGAAGCGGAAGTACCAGTTGGAAATAGCTCATCGGTGGTGAAGGAGGCGAGCAAGTTCGACGAATTCGTGAAACATAAGGCACCTCGAAAATAGTGAAAGTAAAGGCTGTACGAGACTACCATGACGGAAATGAAGGAAAGGGGCGTTTGGAGGAGGTTTCAGTTGTTGCGATTGCGCATAGAGCTGAGCTGCTACATCAAGCCAGAACTGTACAGAACCGCCTTTCGCTGTCGCTATGGGCCATGACAAGGTGCAGCCTCTATAATGCCCATGAAACTCGTCCGAGGATATACACGGTGCAATCTTCGGGCCTTTATAGCGCCCTATTTAATGTTCCAACTCGTGAAGCATGACGACGCCAAAATCTCTTATCCATATGCGATTCAAAGCCACATAAATAGCCACGCAGTACAGCACCAAGAAAAGTTTAAATTTTGAAGCCGAAGAACAGGCGTTCAATATGATATGTGATCGGCTGTATGGTCGCTCGCGAATTGTGGGGAACCTAACGGGAGATGTTGCAGCATAAAATTCTCAATTCTTTTTGCGACAACCTAATATTTTTATAGAGAATTTGAGAAATCGAAAGATTGACAAGCTAGCGTAGGTTTTTCGTCCTAACCTGTGGATACGCTTGTAATCTAGAGCCGGCCGTCGGCAACCCACCTGCTTTCTTCTATGAGTTGCCCATTGAAATTCCATTCAGCGAATAGTCGCCGCAACAGGTGTTTTGACATGCTCGCTACAGAAATAAATTATACTGCATACTGAATTTGGAATGTATGTTAAACATTGCCGGGAGACAATGAATCGGAAAGGTACGGTTATATATATGTAGGTCAGATATTTGTTTGACATCTGAATTCTTTCGAGTTCCTATCATGAAAGCATAAGGAGAAATATAATGCATCACGTTGGGGCGGATCAAAAAAGTAGTTGAAGCTGCGATCTGAGAGCAATTAAGCAATATAATAAAAATAAGTTCATGTAGCAAGTCTCACATCGGAAACTCCTGACAAACCATNCCTAACTTGCGGATACGCTTGTAATCTAAAGCCGGCTGTCGGCAACTCACCCGCTTTTTTCTATGAGTTGCCCTTTGAAATTCCATTCAGCGAATAGCCAGGTGTTTTGACATGCTCGCTACAGAATTTGGAATGTATGTTAAACATTGCCGGGAGACAATGATTCGGAAAGGTACGGTTATATATAGGTCAGATATTTGTTTGGCAACTGATTTCTTTCGAGTTCCTCTCATGAAAGCATAAGGAGAAATGAAATGCGTCACGTTGTGGCGGATCAAAAAAGTAGTTGAAGCTGCGATCTGAGAACAATTAAGCAATATAATAAAAATAAGTTCATGTAGCAAGTCTCACATCGGAAACTCCTGACAAACCATTTAAAGCAACATAGAAAGGTAGGTGCTGAGGAACAAAGCTTTTGTTAGGAGCAGCCTCTTAAGAATGGTCAATGACAGCTTCAGTACACTCTGGCAGAACCGCCTGTTGGAACTACATGAAGACGGATCTATTTGCAGGCTTCCGAACCTAACTTGACCTGAACCTCCTTGACTTGCACTGACGAAATTAGGTTGCTCCACTCATCGAAGGAAACTGCTGTTCGGGTGGAGACCATCCGAGTAAACTGTTGAATGAAAGGGTGATACAGTTGATTATAAATCTACCGGGTGTAACTATAGATCAATTTTCCTACCTAATTTAGCATTGGTTTTATGGTTTGGTATTGCTCAGGGCAGTGTTTTGAAAACTAAATATTGAAAAATTACTATTTTCACGTGGTGATGGCCGCCAGGTTCACTTCATCCTTCGATTTTATGACTATTGAACTTTCCCGATCGATATTGAAGTCGTCTCACGTAAACTCTTTGAGGTCCCCAATAGAAATAGTTGAACAAACAAATAAACAAATGTGAAATCAGCATTCTATAAGCTTAGTGCTGGTCCCCGCAAGTCGATGCTCGTCCTTATCCTTTCATCCCTCTCTCTTCACAGGCTTTTTGCCATCAAGCGCTCGTGGGCAGCGTTGCTGGATGCTCTGGACTTGAGACGGAACTACTTTACACTGATCGACGGCCTTGCTACTCTTACTCCCAGGCCAGATGTATCCTCCAAAATCGTTCTTCTATGTCACAGCCGAGTTCAAGAAAAAAAAAACTGAAAGCTGTCGTGAATTCATGAAAAAGGTTCATTTAATAACATTTTTTCGTTAAGATATGAGCAAACAGCGAACACAATGAAAGTCGAAAATATTTGATATTGATAGACCATGAAAGTAGCCGCAGCGTTTGTGTACTTAATACAGGCGACTGCTGAATCTGAAATCGAAATTGATCATAAAACAGCTACTTCGAAAGAAGATTGAAGCCTGAACTTTCGAACCGTCCATTTTCCAACCGAGCTTCACCTAACACTTATAGCTTGAAATGTGGTTGGTTCAAAGTCCAAAGGGCTCTGATTGTGAGTGCTTATATGAGTCACTAACCTGCTGTACCTATTAGCGTAGGAGTAATTTCCAAGGCTTAGCGATGTTGACAAATTCATTTCCTTCTCCCTACGAGAGGCCCACGTGGCTGGAGATAGCCAGTACTGAAAACAGTCAGCATTATTCAGTGTAGTCATCAAATTAGTAACATCTGTCTCGTTAGCGTTTCGTGTGGTTATACCAACTACTAATACTAAATCAGAGAGGAAGGTTTTCACCAGCGTAGCGCAGTGGAGATGTAGAAGTGATTTTTCACTTTCAGTCACCATTGTCACTGAACAAGTAAAGCCCAAGAAAGTCTCAAGAAAAAAAGAATTCAAAAATGACTGTGATGAAGGGCGAGAGTATACCAAAGTTTCCTAGTGCGTCGCGAGGAAATGGGGCAGGGGGATGCCCAAGTTTGCCTTCTAGGGATGATGGGCCAGATTAGCCATGCCTACTGCCTTGATCTCTCAAACTACCTCATAAAATGGTCTTTGGAACCTCTGGTGCCAGGCTCGAGCTTAGGTTTTATTGGAACCTAAGTTCGAGCCTGTGACCAGAGCTTCCAAATTAGTGACTAGTGAGTGCGGTTTGTTTATGAAAAGGTCTATCACCTTTGATAAGGTTCCAACAGTCATGCATCTTTTCTTGTACATATCGACAGCGTCGTCAACTGGCATGTACCTTAAATGGGATATCATCATCATCCAATGAAATCCATTTCATCCATTGAAAATTCAAGCTGGTAAATATATTTTAGAAGCACTTTTTCAAGAAGCATTGTTATTACTAAAATTCATTGGATTTTCAAACTTTCAAGGGATTTTGAAATGGCAATCTTTGGTTGAATGTTTCCATCACTAACCATGTGTGATCACAATTCATCGGGAATCAGGACAGTGAACCAAGAAAAGTGATGAAATATCGGATTAGTGATGTCTGATCTCGTAGATTGCGCCATGGCTTTATTTCGGTCGGGAATTGAACAGAAACATAAAGTCTGTTATGTTGAATCCATTGGCTTGCAAAGAAAGCTTGGATCCATATAAGCACTTCACTTCCGCCTCTCAGGGAAATATGGGGCAGCCGTTTTTTAAGTGAGGGTCAAGCTTTGTGTCGCGAAAGTGGAATCCGTCAATAGTTTTTCCTACAAGGTTCTTTTTGAAATACTACAATCCATACGTATGCATCTTTCGACAATGTGTCTAAACCAAGAGTTGGAAAAAGCAGAACACATAGTACGTTTTTGAAGCTTATAATGTTCGTCATTCGTTTCAATCCCCTGTTCTTTGAAAAAAAAAATATACTAAACGAATGCGTTTTACACGCAAAGGTTTCGCTACGTCCGGAATTCCAGTGACTCGGGAAGTAATATCTATTTCCTCCCACTTACAACGAGCTCAAGCATCGAGCAGCAGCTCAAAAAACTACAAAAGTCTCTACAAGGATGACGAGTTGGAGGCGAAGCACCTCAATCCGGAGGATATTTAAAAAGTGTTCAATAGTTTAAACGACCAGATGAAATTTACGAATTTATACTACTAAGAGAGCAGTGATCTTACCTTATGTAATTTCTCTGTGGTACATGGTGACGTTCGTACGATGGTCTATAGTCTGTCCGTTGTTGAAATTGGGACGGATTGTAGGCGGTCAATTTACCTTCCAACCACCTTTTCGTGCCAATATCTCGAATGGCAGAACTTCTAGCGTAGACCTGTAAATATATAGGTATGCATATCAAGTATAAGGGCATTCAGGAAGTATCTGTCGGAAATTTCACATAAGTCTAGCTTTTCTGAGATGTCCCAAAAGTTCCCATAAGGATACAGAATAGACACCATTTGCAAGCAAGTTTGCATGCAAACGGAACTTGAGGTATTGGAGTCGGTTGACCAGACCGTAGTCAGTCTTCAACCTTGATCGTAGAGCGTTGGATCGAGACGTGCACAAATCCGCTCACCGTAAACTTAACTTTTTAAGGTGAAAGTACAAGTAATATGAGCTTGAGTTTGTTTCTTATGCGGTTGCCTGAGTTAGGTTTCCCTTCGAATCTTTCCAATTCTACTCATTACCTGGTTTTTGGTGTATTATGGCGGAAAACTTGAGTAGCCTCCACCTTCCACTATCGAGCCTCCACCTGAGCATAACCTTTTTATAATCAGTAAGCGCATGACGATTATTAGCCTCCATAAATGTAGAACGAACAGAAACCACTTTTTACTATACGTCGGAAGTGTACAGAAAGATCTCTTCCCTTCCTTCTCTTCTCCCTCGTCTTCCCCTCCCTGGCCCCTTCTTCCCCGCCTTCTTCCCAAACATAAAAAGATGAGGGATGTAGAATTATCTGGGGAACTTCTATACCAACTTGTTGACTCAGGCTCCAGGTTGTAGGTGGTAGAAGAACGCTCAATATTTTTCCGTGGTGGATGATCGATAAGAAATACTTTACACTCGAAGTCAGCGCGAATATTACGATCAATGGGGAAGCCGTTTACTCAGGATCTTTTTCTTTCTGCCCAGGAATTTCATGGTTGATGAAATTTCTATTTACTTATCCTACCACTTGAGTTAAACAGTTGACTTCCGCTCGTGAAAGCGGGTGGCTGTGGGTGGATCTGAGCTCTCTATTTCAAGTGGGATGATTCATTAAAATTTCGCAAACGTGAAGCATTCGCAACTTTTTTCGGAGAGTTACGATCAAGCTCTGAACATTTCACAAGTTTTTTTGAAGTTCTATGGTTAAACCAGGCGAATGAATCAGCAGCATAGTTCAGTCGGTAAGAAGTGGAATGCCACGGATGAACGCCTACCGAGAGCATAATGAAGGGTTAGAAAAGTCTGTCAACAGGACCCCTACCTTCTGTATGAGTTCGAACCCCGTTAACTACACTACTTCACATTCAGTCCTCAAACAGAATGCCATTAACTACATACGGATAAGACCTACTCATAGGCTCGCCATTGATCGAGTCAGGATCCTTGTCTCCCTCTTCCAGTGGCTCGTGGAAACTTAGACCGACGGCTTTCAAGTGCTGTATAATACTACTTTTTGAAAGAGTCGTTGCCATTTAGTAACTGTGTGAGGGAGGGATAGGTCGCTGAGAGATTCAAGTGATGAGAGGAAATGATCCCTACCGACCAGACGGCCTCTAACTCGTCGCTCAAGGCAGACGCAAATTGGGGCTTCTAACCTTATATCCTTTGTTCATGAAATAGACAAGTTTAATATATAGCTTCCGAGGAAGAAGATTAGAAACCACTACCTTATTTTGGAGTCGCCAAGAATCATGGCTTGAGTTTGGGGTCGCCTTTACAGGGGATTTCGACAGGTTCAAGTACAAGAATTCAAATATTGGTTTCATTTTGGAAAACAATTGCAAAACATGATATATGCTTTATTTATTAAAAAGCGTGACTCACAGACTCAGATTGAGTTTTGATTCCTAGTGAGGTGTCCGTATTTCCGTAGCTATAACGTACGTAAGGGTATCTGAAATTATGTAAAATTTAGAAATGTAAAATTTAATTTTAGTGTTTCTTTATTGAAAATTCAAATTAAGTAATAATTAGCAATTACAATTTAAGAATAATAAGCTGTAATTCTTCACATACTTGTCAGTAAAATGTGGTGTACTCATTTGTACTCCGACATTATGAAGTGGGGGCGTTCTGGTAAGCACTGATGCCGCTAATGAACGACCAAATAATGATGACCCTTAAATTATTTATTGGTTTTCTTTTCATTTTTTTCTTTTTCAAACCTTTTCTTTCACATTTTCAGGTAGGATTTTTGGTCCCCTCCACCCCATCCCCTTCAATATTAGTCTCATGCGGGGGCGCCGTAAAGCGGCAGCAGCAGTCGCTTTCCACGAAATAACACGACTTTTGTGATAGTGTGAGCCCCGAAATTCATCCGATCAGCCTAGCTGAGCTGAGCCTGACGACCGATTTGTGTAAAGCGAAAAAATAGCACGTTGCTAGCAGGGCTGCATCATCTGGGTGAGCAGAAATTGAACAGAAATCGATTTACGACTAAAAACCCAAGCCACTTACTGCAACATCCCCGTAGGTATTACTGTAACACAGTTTCTGAGACTAACTCTTTACTAACTCAACATTTACAACCCATAAATCGACCAGAGAAGGTACACACCGTATGACGAAAAAAGTTACTAACCATATCTACGACGTATTTACATTATTAGATAAATACACAATACAGAAATAGTTCTGCATTTACAGACTATACAAGATATTCTTCCCACTACCGTATCACTATTACCAGTTAGAGTAAGGATTCCACTACTAGAACTCAAATGAACTCGGACATACTTGAGCACAGGTGACAAAAGTGGGAAGGTAGAGACGCAGTGGCTTCATAGAGCCCCCGACACCTTAATTCTTTTGAGCTCTGTTATACCGAAAAACTCGGAGTAACCTTGAAAATGCAATGGATAGGCTTTGGCCCCATAAAAACAGGTACGGTAACTTTTAGGTAGCCCCCATTCTAAGCTAGAATGTTCCCTCCAGAGGTGCTACCTAAGTGGCACAACTATGATGACCTGAAGTCTATGCGAACCAGATTATAAACAAAAGTCCGACAGCGCCAAGAAAAACCGAAGCAGCCGTATAGACAGTATGCAATTCGCTAACATCAAATAGACCCGTACCACATCTACTGAGACTTCGGGCCATATAACCGCCTCCATATCCATATGATGGTGGGCGAGTGAATTGCGATGCGGACGAGCTATGGGAGAGTGCTGATCCTGATCCGGAAAACGAATATGACCTGCAATACAGCAAATCAGGTTCATGACATTCAGTTTCAAAAGAAAAGCTAGTCTCACTCAATCCCACTATTGGGATGCCCCTCTCATTCGACTTCCATTCAGATTTGTTGTTGTTCCGCTTTGAGGTGTGTGTGGCCCATAGAATGAATCGCGTGGACCAGCCGATGTACAAATAAGCGCTTTTATCCTACCATACAGGTCTGATTCCACTTAAATTAACCAGAGAGATGTAAAGCTTGGTTGGTCTGATCGGGCATCGATCCAGAATTAGGCACTGGGAACATATCTATGCTATACCCTGGCATGTGCCACTACTCCACCTCCTTCTACTCTTCAATCGATTGTAATGTATTGATAAAGTTAACGAAAGGCTTTCGCCATCTTTCGTTCTATATTCCGTTAATATTTCGTTCTCCAGAAAAAGATATGCAGGAGAATCTGGCTATTCAATCCCCTCGTTAGTGGGTTACACCACGCATTCGGGAATTCAGCTCCTCCCAAAGATTCCTACGGTATAGCGGTTTGCAAAAACCATAAATCAATCACCTGTGTTCCCCTCCTGATCAAGTCGTTCGGTGAACCTTTGCTTCTGGAGGTAAGGATAAGCTTGTCACTCTTGATGCACACGATGAAATGAAATTTTGATCGCCTAACTGCATATTCTACCCCGCATATTCACTAGCGACCAGTGCCTCGTAAGAAATTTTTCTATGATCATCATCGAGAATTTCGCTTTGCTCATCTACTCGCAACTAAAACGAATGCTCGCATTGGACAGCCATTCTCAATTCTATGTGTCCAGGAGGTTATGGTAGAATTAAGACCCTCTCGTGTTTGAACTACAGTACCTCCAAGTCGTAATAGAAGGGAGGTAAAGGGTAGGATCTCGTGCAAAATGGATGTTCGGTGTATGACCTATCAATTATATCTCTCGTGTAGGTCTGTAGGCCTCCCAGTAATCCGAACACGACTGTGTGTTTCTAGCAGCTGCCCTAAGTACAGCAATAACAAGCGCTTAATTGCTTCTCATTCAAGTGAATTATTGGGTTTACGATGGGACTTTGGTTTCACTAAAAAGATCGAACCAGGGCCCGAAGCAGTCTAATTTTCTCTCAACGAACGGGTCAACTCCACAATAAGTAGCTATCCGAATTCGTAGGGGGATTTTTTGAGTCATACAACAATTGGTTAAGCGACAATACTGACCTCCTCATAGCTGATGTACGCACATCACTTCGCGATCTTGTGATAGGTGAAATATGATGATAACTCGGTGAGCTCAGCAGCTCCATTGTCGCTCGTTCTGAATTACAGCACAGTAGTGGATGGATGGGTCTCCGAAGGGATGGTAAGGAGATGTGACCGGCCGAACAGGGGGATGAAGGACGGCAAAGAGCGGGAGGAGACGAGGCGACGTTGAATGTGTGGCGAGCTTTTTTGATAGACTAATTGAAACAGATGCCGTTGGCAGGACCGCCCACAAATCACTCAGCGGCTACGATTATTTGGTTTCCTCGGCTTGTCAGCACGAACACCCGAGGAAGATCTCGATCTCGTGTAAATGCTATTCATAGACCACTTGAACAAGCGTGTTTCTGGTAACAGAAAAAAGGTCTCACTTTCAATAGTACCTGATGAAGGCCGAAAAACCCTTCAGGTCAACCTCCAAAACTGCTTTATTTTTGCATCCAATTGAGGAGATTTCGCAAGTTAAAAGGGGTAACGATTTTTGGGTATATAGTAGTTGTCTCTGAACATGTCGCCTACAGCTGTTGCCCTACGTGACAGCAGTCTGTTCAATGTCATTATCTACAGCCGCGATCTTTTTGATTTTCAGAGCCACCCGAGCTGCTCTGCAAAATGCAAATTCCGAAATCAAGTAAAATACACATCGATAGGTCATTCCAGAATGGATTTTCTCCCAAATATTCCTAGCTCAGGTAAGAATTCATTTAGCGTTCTCTTTAATTTTTCTCAAGACATCTCTTGCTTCTGATTCTGATGAACTATTACAGGTTGACTTGTGTTAATTGTGGGGAAATTCTGTATTAGTCCACCAGGACACAGTGATTCTTTGAAGCTTCACAGACATGCCCCGAAAGGGCAGAGGCCATCTGTATACGCGTGACATGCCGGGAGATTGTAAAAATGTTGTTGGAGGGGCCTCCTGAGTTCTAGAGGGGAGTGGCCCCTTGATGAGGGGAATAATTACCTCATGCAAAAAACTGGTATGGAGTAAGAGCTGAAATTCAATCGACTGAGTCTTATGTGAAAAGAATCATAACTTCTTCCTCTTTTTTCCCGACAAGCAAAGTTCTTGAGCACCATGATTGGCTCGCGAAGTCGGCTAACACTCTTTCGTTCTAGCACTCAATGTTGGAGAGGAGCGGTCGCCCTCTTCCTTTCCCAACTACATCTTCACCCAAAAAATTTCACGATATCGCTTTCGCTTAACCAGATCGATATTCATCCTGGACCTTGTTGTTCAGGCTATGTCGCGCGGGGAGCGGGGCGTGCCCAGGACCGCTAAGCAGACGCTCAATGGCGAAATGCTTGACACAAGTTTCAGTATTTCAGTGGATTCCAGCACGGAGTGGCTCGATCCGAACTCGTAAAGAAGTACTAGTTGAATATAGGCAGACATTTCAGCCATTGAATGGTCAAACAAGCAAGGAGGTAGCCCTATATGCATATATGCATGGATGGTCTCCTTACACAGAATCCCCATGGAATCTTCCAGATAATCCTGGGAGGAATTTGGACTTTTGAGAAATTTTGGCAGATATTATACTTTCCGTACCAAGTAATAAAATGTGAAAATCGTGCCGTAAGGAAGTCAGAGTCAAAAAAGGGTTACCCGAAGAAAAAGGTATCGAAAGGGAATATCAGAACTTGAGCTGCAAGATTTTGAGAAGATTCCAGCTCAGAGTAAAACAAGGCTTGATCATGATCGATATGTATGGAGTTGTTTTTGTTTCACAAACTTTATGGTTGGATTCAAGCGCTCCGACATGAAAAAGCAAAGAGTTCAAATCGAAGTACGAAGTGACAGACTAAAAAACAGCTTCTCCTTGAAACAACCTAACAATGAAAAGCGGCACATGAGCGACAGCTAAGGCTCAGTTTTCAGTTGAGGATCGCAGAATGGCCTGGCATGTTACAACGACACACACAGCTGGCCGAGAAAATCGCGGAAATCCGTATAGGAAAAATCCAACGACGACACTTTTTCTTACAACTGCGACATTAACAAAGCTAGCTGTTAGAACGGAACGGATTGTTCCAACAACTTTCAGGATATTCCAGTAAAACGCTCGATCATTAAAAATGCAACAAGGTTTTTCCTCTATAATTCGATTATTTCAATAATTTCGAGGAATGGTTCTTAGAAATAAATGAATTTTGACTGGATCAAAATGAAGAAATTTTAAAATTTCGATTACGCACTCACCATCAGTTGCATTGACATATGTGCAATTTCCCATACAGTATCCCAGGCCTCCAACCCTTCCGCTCTATTTATGATAATCGAGAGTCTCACCACAAGTTCATTGAATAACTGAAAGCGCCTTCAGAAGGCTGATAAACTATCGTCCCGGTGTGAACGCCTGTTCAAGTTTGTTATGGGATAACAGTTTTTTGCAGTTCACAACCCTGTTTCGGAAAACACCCACGTAATGTCTAATGTCTAAATGCTAGGCCTATAAAATGAATTGCTTCCATCGGCCTGTTTGGAGCTCATCTGATCCTCCAGGACAGGCCTCTTGCCAATTTATGAGCTCTGACCGGAAGGAATTCTTGGATGTTCAAGCGATGCCCACTTGTACGGCACCAATTGGTGCTGAGCCACCACCTCCCCACGCCACTAAAGACTATTTTTGATTCAATGAAACGCAATTGCCAGCTCAACCAGTTCTCAGAAGCGTACAGCCTGGGGTGAATAAGTGGGATCTTCTTACTTACCACTTTTTCTATTCATTATATATTTGGCGAACTCGTATTGTTTATTCATCTTTCTTCGTGGTGCATTTTCGGCAGTTATCATAGGGATCGTGAGATTGATTGCAATAATAATACTCTCGTATGATCAGAATCCTTTTTCAGTAGACCTGTGCAGGGAAGGTCTACCCAGAAAGAAACCTCAGCTGCCTTAGCTTGTAGAGGGTGTTCAAGTGTTGGGGTAAGCTCTTTTCGAGTTTTATTGTTGTTTCCATGTTTTTGCGAGTTGCAATGGTGACTGCTAGTAGATTTGTTTACTATTGGCCGTGGTCTTTCATATTTGTTTTCGATACGAATGTTTTTAAAATGTTGAGTTATTGACAAAGCATGTGATCTCTTGGAGGGATCTACATGACAACAAGAAAACGAAGGAGCGAGTTCCATCCTCCGCTCGTTGAAATGGGAGCAGGCAATTGCTTTCAACGACCTATAGTATGATCAGGAACACGTGAAAAAGGCGAGGAAACTTGGAGACAGATATCTCATTCTTTTATTAGCGACTGGGCAAGTTTTCGCTGGCACATCTCCCCACTTTTCATTTATGCGGCAGTAATGGGACACTTCTCCTACCGGCGAGGGCAATGTAGCAACTTTCAAAAAACTTTCATGACTCTAGGTGGATTGTGATGGGAACCATTACATTAACTCGGTACGAATGTTGTACGTAGATCCCAACACAATGAACGGAGGTGCAGGCGAGAGAGGGGGTGCTTGGCGTTGCGTGAGCCTCGAAAGTCCCAAGAAATTCGTCGGAGCAGTTGAAGGCACCTTTCACAGAGAGCAGATGGATAATGGTACCTGGATTCTGACATCCCATTGGTGAGAACTTTCTGATAGCTGCGAGTTGTCATAGATGGAATGCTCCCTCAAACGTCTGTTGCCATCTGCCGTATAGAATATCTCTCATGTAGTTCACATATGGCGGATTCGGGAGGAGGTGGTGCAGTGGCAAGAGGTGCCCTATCACACACCCATGCTCACAAGTTCAAATCCTGGATCCGTATCTGCCTAGGCCAACCAAGCCTTCCTTCCCACCGGTGTCGGTCTACTGGCGCCAGACTCGTCTGGGAGCGTAAAAGCACTGAATTGTACATCAGCTGGTCACCCTAAGTTAGTGTATAGGCCACATACGCACTCAATACACAACCACGATTCTGAATAGAAGTCAGATTCGTGGGCGCAACCTTCACAGTCTCATAGTGTAGCTCAGGGTTTGTTTTTACAACGAGACCACCAAGCGAGAGTGGGACAGGTTCACCGCTTCCGTTCAACTTGAGATTCAATTCAAACTTAAAACAAAATTCAAAAAATAACTGGAAGTAGCTGGAATGTTTTACGGAGATTTAACATTTACACACGATGCTGAATATTGCTTATGAGTTCTGAAAAACAAAAGCTTACACAAGTCCTTAGAAAAAACTTTTCTTGAGCAGTGTAACAGGCCGGGCAAATTCCGCAGAGGCGACTCAATGGAAAATGGTACTTCTTCAGACTGAAATAGGCGATTTAACAACCGCAATGTGGCTATAGCTGAGACGTTGTTGTTGCTGGTAAGCTACTACTCCAAGGATGGAAGCAGGTGATGTCCTGCTGTCTGGAAGAGGAAGGGAGGAGGGAGTCGATAAGAAACCATATATTTGTAAACGGGCCCTACCCAGGCAAATTCAATTAAGTAGCCTATTTTTATAAATCCGCAATCATGTGACCAGATCGAATCGCGGAAAACAGCGGGAATTAGGAACACTGGTTAGAACCAAGTAGTATCAAATCTTGCAATCCCACGACCATCAAAGCACTGATAAAGGCAGGAGACCCTCTGTCAAGGTAAAGGTATCAAATTCAATTGAATTAAGCTTCCAGGAAGCAGCAGCGCTCACCTTTTCAATGCCCAGGTAGAAATTCCCTATTCCAGTACGCTCAGCTTACAGAGCAGTTAGAGCGTTGAAACAATTACTATCAATAATTTGTTAATGTTTTTCTTTTTTGATCCGTGTAGCTTCCCAGTCACCTGTACAGGTGAATCCAGATCGGAGTGAGTTCTTATTTCACCAGCAGAGCAAGGTAAGTTGGGTAGTCACAACGATGCTGAGTTACGAGCAAAAACAGCACCTAGCTCCTGACAGGACTCCAACTTTTTTTCACTGCGAAAGTTGAGATAACTGATACTTGCTACGCAGGCAGGCTCTGAACCATAGTTTTCTTATACCAGAACGCTGTTTCAGCAACTTCTCCTCGCCTTTGCTCTTGTAGCGACTTTTGCAAGACGCGTTTCAGCCGTGCAGGCTGCAAGTTT